TCTAATCAAAGCATCAAATCCACCTGTGTCTATCTGTCTGCCCTAGGATATAATTGACTAATTGACCATTTTCGGAATCCCACTGAATTAAATTGGTTTGTGGGTAAGTTGTTCTAGCTGTGGTCCTTTTTGCTACACACTCCTAGCTCAGATTAGGGATTTTAATTGAGCTTGGTGTCCCAGCAGATTCGCTTCTGGCAATTCATTAAAATTAAATGGAATGAATGCCGCCAGCACTGGCCCAGTGGCCTCGTTTTTATTCCCAACTGGCCTCTATGACACATGTGTGTTTTCTTTTAAGTCTGACTTACTTGTGCTTTGCCACAAGTGTGCAAGAGAGACACAGTCTGTCCTTTTGTGTGTGTGTGTGTGTGTGTGTGTGTGTGTGTGTGTGTGTGTGTGTGTGTGTCTGAGAGAGAGAGATAGAGAGAGAGGGCGAGGGGAGCGCAGCATATGTGCTACCAGAAAATGTGTCAGATAGGTGGCAGGAAACCAGGTCGTCAGTTACAAACCAGCTGTGGCTGGAATGAAGCAAGATGATCTGTGAGCTACAGCACACTGACCACTTTGTATATTTTATAGTGTAAGTCAGTCTGGGCTTAGGACCCACCACCATCACCTTACAGAGAAATTGCAACCCACATTTCAGATATTTTTCAACTTGTTCAATAATAAAAAAGTGCAGGTTGGACCTCCAAGAGTAACAAAACATATTACATGTTGAAAAAGCGCCTCATGGACTTTTTGACAATAATTTTTCCAGGCACACATCCGTGACCCACTGAAAATAGATTTTCAATCCACTTTTGGATCCTGACCCACCAGTTGACAACCACTGGTGAAAGTGGTCATTAAAAAAGGTAAACATATATAATATAAACATAAGAATATAAGGTCTTTAAATTAAATTTCCCATTTTAACTAATCACTTCAATGTAAGGTGTGGCTTCATGTTACAGGTGCTATAAACCCGCAGTTACTTTTTGACATCTGCAGCAGAAGGAAGACAGCATTGTTATTCATTCGTAGTGCTTTTTAGGCTCTTGACCATTTTAAATCCAGTAGTCACCTCTTTTTGTTTATATGTATGGTTTCTACCAACTCCAATGGGAAAATATCTGGCCCTTCATCTGCTGCTCTTTGTTCACTAGCTAGTTGCTTACTGTGCCTACCTGCTGTCTGTTTGTTGCTGAGCAGGTAGAGTACATTTGGTTTTCAGGCTTTTTACAGCATGCCTACTGGGGCCAAAAAAACAACTGTGAGGGCGGCGAGAGCAAACTAAGACAAAACAAAGTACCGGTAACGGATAAAAAATGAGTTAAAATCTGCAATATATCCATGATACTGAAAGGAGCTGAGAATCTGGTTGATGATTGAAGTTAATTATTTCAACAGCCTCTCTCACAATTGTTCACTGTTATTATTAAAAACATGATTTAAGCTGCTAAGGGGTACGTTTATCTTATTTATGAAGACATTTCAAACTGTTCAACCATAACCTCAAGCTCCTTGTGTCCAATAATTTGCTGCATAACGACTCCATATGAAATATTTGTGCTCTGTCTGCTTAATTGAAATAATCAGCCCTTTAATTGATTTGTTGACCCAGAGAGATCGCATCAATGATTATTTTGGTAACTGTTGCTAAAATTTAGCTAAATTTGAATGCTCAAATGTAAACATTTCCTGATTTTCTGAATCTTTTATTACATATTTCAGAATACTTCACTTTGGGGCTTGATGACTGATACATAAACAATGAAAACGTAGGTGGACACTGTTCTTGCAGGGACGTTGCTTCACAAAATCAATTAACACTGAAAAACCTAAATATGTCAACTTGGGCTTTGGGAATTTCTTTGACACTTTTTGGCTAATTTTATAGATCACTGATTAAAAATTGATTGAGAGGATGATCATTAAAAATGAATATGGTTTGGGTCCACTCCACAGCCCACTCATATCAACATCAAACTGTTACACAACTTGCACTACTGGCCTTCAAGTGACATCCTACGCCAACTCTCTATTTTTGGTAACACTCAGTGTTTTGAGGCTTGATGGTTTCCCGTTAAAAGAATAAAGTCCCCCATTTAAAAAAAAGTAATGGGGTGAAAAAAGTGGATTTTGTTGCAGGGTAGTTTTGTTTTCTTGTGTTTCTTCTAGATGCTTGAATTTTTTGAAAATCATTTTTTTAAGGTTTCTCCAGCCATGCCTGCCTGTTGCATATTCCTGTCAAAATAGAAGTACTATATCCACAACTAGTCAAAGCCTTGTGAATAATGAGCTGTCCCTTGTACCAAACTGTGCTTCTCTTCTTTTTCTTTTTCTTTTCTGTTCCTTCCTTTTGGAAAACTAGGCATTTATTGAGAAACTCAAAGCAAAAATGTTCAGATATAAAACTCAGACTGATGTCAAGTGAGAGAATTTAGTCTCCAACTACAGCAACCAGCACAGCTAAGGTTCTGAACAGATTATTAAACCCACTGAATGCTTTGTACAGGTAAGTTCTGTGCAAATGCTTCAACAACACAGCTGCTCAGCATTCAGATGGTCTGCAAACGTGATGCTGATATGTGCCTTTTATGTAAGAGGCAGAGGGACTGCGAGATAGAAAGACAGACAGAGAAATAAGAAATACTGGGAAAAAAAGAAGGATGTGGGTGTAGGGTTGAAATGAGATGTCAACACGCCAACAGCAATCTTCCCTGAATGCTGAATACTGTTCACTTAGCCACAAACAACAGCACAGCAGTGGTAACAATGTTAAACTCCTGCGCAAATTAATTTGCTGACTCCGAGGCTTAAAGAGAACAAATGAAGTCTCTCATTTTGTTTGTTTCTTGGGTCTAACGCTCCATCCTTCCTCCTCCCCTTTCTTCTCCTCTCCTTTCTTCTCTCTTTCTTTCCACCATCATGCATTCTTTCCACATTTTTGCATAACATGTTCAGTGATGCATTCACATTTAATTCACAGAGGTCCTGGGGGCGAACCAAAGCAGGTTTTAGACACAACTGCCAATCTACTTATCCACCCACCTATTGCTGGCTGCAGAGCCAGAGTGTACCATGGAAACACACATTTGCTGCATTTATGTGTTGTGCTTCCTGTGGATGTATGTGGTGAGTAAATGTATATGCTCATAGAGGAAAATCCCATCCACAAATCAACAAACAATTAAAAAACAGCCTTTAGCGTCAATCTTCAAAAATCACGTGTCAGACAAGAGGTGTGGCATCTAAGGATATGAAGCCTTTAAAATGCATCAACAACACTGATAGATGTTGCCTCAAGCAGCTTCAACATGCATGAATGTACCTACTCTACCTGACAATCAATGTCTTGAAATTAATCTAATGGTTCACCAGCAACAGCCTAGTGGAGTAAAAAATTAATTCCATCAAAATACATGCAGAATCAGATGCTGAGAATGATCATAGAAACCCTTTATCAATGTCTCCAACACAAACAAGCACAAACATAATGATCATAGGAATAACTGAATTACATTAACGATCTTGTATTTTTAATGTTGGCAGTGTAGATTTGGAAGAATAAGGCTGGAGATATTCTATATTTTCAAACAAATCCCATGAAATGCCATGATTCAGTAGCCTTACTTATTGCCAATGCGCAATGTATCATTTTCCCTCTGTGTCACAGAGCTCCATTGTGTTCAAAATGTAAAAAAAAACGGACCCACATCGTTGCATGGGGTAACATTTTCCTACATTATAAATGATGAAAATGGGCATGCTAGTTTATTAGGGCTGACCACACAAACACCATCCATCTGCTGGAACTGTTCACCAGAGCACTAAATGCATTATCGTATAACTGAAAATAGTCTCAATAAAAAGCTCCCTTCTTAGTGCCAGGTTTTTTTGTCCGTGGTGGCCAAACTGGGCCACTGACTTCTGACTCTTCACACACACACGCTAATTGGAAATGAAAGGAAGCTACAAGAGCGAAGAAACTTTTGCTAGATTTAAGCCAAAAGAATGGCTTTCCTGAAATGAAGTTGCTGACAATAATTTATTTTACAACGTAAAATCTTCAAGGACACAGTCATCAAATGAACCTCTACAAATGCATCACCGCTTGCTGGCTGCTGTTTTAAGACAGAGACACACACAATCTACACATATAGCCATACCACACCATATGGCAATAGATTACTGTTCATATGGAAAAACATACATGCAATACATTAGAGAAACACTTACTCACTAGTCATCTGCTCTAGTACTAAATGCCAAACTCCACATCAGTGCTATGTTTAGGTTCTGTTCCAATAACAGCGTTTGGAGAGATAATAGGGTTTAGACCTATAGCAAAATAGGCAAATCAGATATATATACTGTATATACCGGTATATAGCAGCCGGGTGCTGTATTCAATCATGCTAAAAAGTAGTTATGCATCAAACTGTTGGTGTAGCTGAGAATGTAGTAAGCAGTAATGGGCAAGGCAAAACTTGTGTACTGAATACCAGATTGTGTCCATGTAACTGTAGACCTGCTACTTAGTAATATGTACATGTTTTCTTGATGTTTCAAATTATTATGCAAGCAGTGAAATAATAGTCTGAGGAAATAAAATAAATCCACAATATCTTCAATCATAGCAATGTAACACTTGAATCCACATTACACAGTGATCCAGTATAGCTTTTCATACAGCAGACATGATATAATAAGAAACGTACAGGTGTAATTAATAATCCTAACGATGGCTATGCTCCATTTAGGTGAGCCAGCTCTGAGGTCCTGGTATTGTGTGCCTGGCATGCTGTGAGCCATCATTAATGTTATTAGTCACACCTGCACTTTTTTCTCAGCTGACACTGCTTTGAGAAAATATCTATTAGGTAGATAAAGAGACAAACAGGAAGAAAGCTTTGTAAGACGTTTAGACACTACGGCCAAATCAAAAGGTTGTGTCCAAAATCACACACTCACTCCCTGCTCCCAACATCAGGAGTTCTGATGTCACTTACCCGCTGAGAACGACTATGAAGTCCATGACATTCCAGCCGTTCCTCAGGTATGAGCCTTTATGGAAAACAAAACCAAGAGCCACAAGCTTGATCCCCGCCTCAAAGCAGAAGATCCCAATGAAGTAAGGCTCTGTCTTCTCCTGTGGAGGTAATATACAAGAGATGGGTCAGTAAAAACGAATGTTTCGCTCACACTGAAGAATGTCAGATTATAGCTGGTTGGGTTTATGGTAAAAGGTAAATAGACTTAAACTTGTAAAACTTTATTTGAGTGCTCTGACCACTCAAAGTGCTTTTTACACTACATGTCAAATCCACCCATTCATGACACCACATTTACACACTGATGTCAGCAGCTGCTATGTATGGTGATCAACAATTCTGTTCCATTCACATACTGCTGGTGTAGCAGCTGGAGCACGTTGGGGTTCAGTGTATCACCCAATGGACTCCACCATACAATGAAAATACTCAAATACTGAAAGTTTTACTTCTTAGTGACATTTTTGGAGACCCCTCTCCCCCAAATACAGTCTGGAAAAGACAGACTTTATTTGGGAGAGAGGGGTGTGACTTGCAACAAAGCTCCCCGGGCAAGCTCAAAATGCTGACATGGCTATTATCTGGCTCTGTAGCTGTTCGGCTGTTCTCCTTCTTCTTCAAACTGATATTTTAAGGCTTTTTAAGGTAGCAAAAAGTGAAGTATGTTGCATAAATGTTTGATATTTGCATTTTTGCTTTGAATTTTGTATAAATGTTTGTTCTCGGTTTAAAATTTAATGACAGTGTTGCAACTGTTTTGTTTTTTCACTTTATCATAAGCACACCATGAAGCCCCATGCATGAAATGTGCTACATTTATTAAAAACGTACTTTACTTTACTTTACATGACCCGGTCACTCTGTGTATATAAAGGGCTAAAACTAAGTTAATGATAGAAAGCCTGTTTTTCTTCAGAAAAATAAAGTTTAAGCTAATATCCCACTCATTTCTATCAAAAAGGCTTATAGCAAAATATGCTTGCAGAAGCAGATTTTCCTACTTCAGTTTAAAGTCCAACAACTTGTAAAGTCTCTGTCATTCTGGTTGTCTTTTGTAATTCAATACCAGCTCACTCACATCCACATGTCAATGTGTTGAATATGTGAGAACACAGTAGGTCTCACCAGTCTCTTTGCCATGGGGGTCTTATCCTCTCCAGGGAGGTGCTGCTCCAAGGCCAGGACGACACAGTTGGCGGTGATGGTGGCAAGGATCATGTACTCAAATGGTGTAAAGGCGCCATAGTTAAGGAAAGTACGTTTTTCACTTAAAGGACAAAACTAACACATAGAAAGAAAAGAATAACGGGCAAACATCAATAAAAAAAGAATCCCCGTAATAATTTTTCTGAAACGTACAACGCTGGAGCAGGAGTTCAAGTAACTTCATTACACAAAGAGGTTGCATTTTATGTAACAAAAGAAATCAGTAACCATAAGCCTGATCGTTATGCATACATCATTATTTCTCAAAAATCTATCATGTATGCATGGTGCATTAGAAAGGGGAAAAAAAGTATAGATGGATGGATGATTAAATGACAGATGAATTATTGCATGGTTCACATTCTCTGGGACTGGAAGCAATCTGTTAGAGATTGCAGTATCCATGGCAACCTGCTTTTAAAAGTGCTTTTCATGAAGAGAAAAAGAGCAAATCAGGGAAAGATAGAGAGAGAGAGAGAGAGACCGCTGTGAAATCACCTTGGCCTGGCTGGATTAACTGCACAAAGTACAGCAAACAGTTCTTATAAATCCTTTCCGCTGATTTAACACAACACTCTAGTAGAGTGTTGTGTTAAATCAGCGGTTCACCACAAACTCACATCTTAGGACTCTTTGTTACTTAAAAAAAAGCAGCCATGGTTTAATCTTCAACTGTTTTATCTTGAGTTGATTCGTTTTTAAAGTAAAGTCTCAAAAACTTGCAGGAGCTAGTGCCGGGCAAGTAATCGAGCTTCAATAGTAATAACGGTTTTGGCTTCCCACGATCATGAAAACAAGATCATCTGGATTAAACCATTACTATGAAACATGCCATGTTGGGCTTGTTTTATCGGAGATGGACTAATACAAAATAACTTGCAGAATTTGTAACTTGGTCGTGGCTGCCCTTTAAGGCATCACAACATATACGGTATGTATCTAAATATTTGAAGTTTACGCAAAGTGTTATATGACCAAACAATAAAGGATCAAAAAATGCTCAAAGGTAAAAGCTCCTTGACTCCTGCCACCACAACATACTTGGCTTTTCAGGACAAACTTTCCAACGCAACCGCCTATCCAACCAGCCCCCAGAGACAAAAAGTAATAATAGAGTCCAACACATTCATGCTATCAAAGGACACGCACCCAAAAACAGTGTTAGAAAGAAAATGGTCAACACTTTGGACAAGCGTTACTTGTGCAATATTAGTGGCACTGCCTGCAGTATATGATGAATGTCATGGGGATGTCGTTACAACAGAGTATTTTGCCATCACAACAGATCTATGGTCAAGGCGCACCATGGGGCCATATAAATGTCTCCAAACTGCCTTTTCCCTTAAGAACAAAAGGGGCACAACATCACTGAAGGCCTGAGGAAGGGTGATTGGTTTTGTCCCTGGTTCCATGTTTCAAAGTGTTATTGCTTATTTTTGTTCAGTATATTAAAGTTTTTGGGGTGATTAACCCTCTGGTATCTTTTGTTTTTACGACCCTCTTGAGCCATGCGTGGACAAAAATGTCCACTTCCAAAAACATTTATAAAGATATTATAAGTCTATACTGTTCCCCCACTTTTTGGATTTGATCCTTGTAATCAACTTCAGATCTTATCAAAACTACCAAATATTCAATTATTAGTCTTTGTGCTTTAAATTGATGTAAATCCGTTTTGAATTGTTGGTCCAACAGAGAGACAGTAAGGTGTCCACGTAGCTCTCAGTAATGCACTATTTCAACAATGCTAAAGCTTGTCAAAATAGAGAGAACTGAAAATGGACAATTTCCCACTTTATCTGAGTTTGTTGAATCAAAATAAAAAGATTAAAATATATATATAATCAAGTCTCAACTTCTCACTACTTGTGATCTGCTGCTTGTCCTTGTTTCATGTTATCAAAAACTGCACATCGTTGGGTTTTGGTCTGTAGGTCGCATAAAGCAGGCGATTGGATCATGTTTGCTTTGGTTGTGGGACAGATTTTCACTAATTTCATTTATGAATTGATTCATAAGAACTTTTAAGATTAATCAGGAAAATGTAAATCTGCCAACAACTTCTGTGTCTGATTGTTTATGCTGGGAAAAATCAGGCTTGACATAAAATCATTTCTCCTAATCTGTCTCCACTCTCTGCATTGGTACAGAACATGTGTATGTCTGGACAAAGATGCATCAAGTCTGACTATGTGCTTGAACACTTGTATGTGCTTGTGGCTTTCAGTGGTCCCAGTTCCCATGAGGCAGCTGCTTCTTGTTATTAATTTTCCTGCCATGACAGAAATGGGGTCACTGACTCACAGAGGAGAGCGGTGATGGGGGCCTTAGGGAGCCACACTGACTCACATTGACAAGTCCACATTGTTGCCAGTGAAAGCAGTTGAAAATAGCTAAAGTGGGAAATACTTAATAAATCTCGCCCACTCTGTCACTACCAGTTACCTGTTACAATGGAAGCCAGAGTGCATGTTTTATACCATTACATCAGTTCATCATTTTGAAACCTCTGCATATTTTTAGATACTTTTAATTTTTTCTAAGTACCTATTAACTTGTTTCTTTTTATTTTTTTACATTTGAATCAGCTCTTAAAACATGGGATTGGGTAACAGAGTGGTTTTATCTAGGCAACTTTACACCAGGGTTAAGGGGAGATATAGCCTCGTCACTAAACTGCACAGCGCCTGTTAAAGTCTCTCTGCACTGTAGGAGGGCAGTTTTGAGAGATCAAATCGAAATAATCGGATGAATAAGCAGGGTTTTTACAGCCCATTCATTGTGTATGCAGTCGATGAGAACTTTCTGCACATGTGCACTTCAATTCTGTATTCTACAAAAAGTATGTCTGGAAGCATGGATCTCATGTGGCTTTCTATATAAAATGGGAAACATGTAATGACAGCATTCGCTTTTCATTCTTCTTTAGCGAAGTTGGATTTGAAACGGAAACTTCAGAGCCCATGTCCTTGTAGCCAGATAATATCATTGTCATGGCGATGGATGCAGACACCTCAGAACCATAGACAGAACTTATTTATAATGATACATTTGATTCTAAGAGGTGGTGGGGGGGGGGGGGTTAATAAGAATAAGAAAGAGGATAACCCCAGAGTTAACCAACTAGCTTTAATAACAGGACAGAAAACTGTGTTCTGTGTTTTCAAATGGACTGATTGAAGAAAAAAGACTAGCAATGCTACGATGCTGTGCTAACAGTCAATAACTGTACTGCTAATCCTGCCAGTGTTTTGTTAAAGAGCCACTCTGAAGATGAATGATAATGCTGGAATCCAAAGTAAACTGAAGGTCTATAAGGAAGAGCTTTGTAAAATGGTGTTTACAAGGTGATATCAATGAGTGGCTTTTTATTTACAAGTAGCCTCTCAAATATGTGCTATTCTGAATGTCAATGTTTTGTATATTAACTTTTAAACTAAACTGCAACTGACATTAATTGTCAGCTTAAATCGCTTCATCGGCTTCTATATCATCTAGCATTTAATACATTAATGTTGTGGCACAAATGTGTTGGAAATAGCTCACTAAATGTCCTAAGGTCAAGCCTGGCATCTTCAAGATGCATGTTTAGTCGGACCAAAAGCCCAAACCAGTAAAGATTCACTTTATAATCGCTGAAGACAAAAAAATCACCACAAACAAGAAGCTGGAATCTTGAACAATTCAGAGATAACCACTTGCAGATTCATTCACTTTCGCTGAGTGATCTTTTCTAATTACGTCTACGTTTGAAGTAAGCTGCAGCACGACTTAAGTATTTGAAGTTTCCAGAAATGTGCAATCCTCAGCAAACACCAAGCCTACATTAATGTCTTCAAAGTGATGTTCTTACTGCAACTCTGACAGTTGTTAATGGACTGTGATGGATGACATAACTACAGAAGGCTACAGGTGGTCTCCATTTTGTACGGAAAAAAACCAAAACACTGGCTCTCTGGTAATCAAACTCTGTACAGCTCACCTTTACAAATACTGATGTGAAGTAACACTAAGGCTAGGATTCTTTTTAAGTCCCTTAATTTGTCACTTGCTTACAAGATAAATCTAATCCTCAAATCGGCTGAAAACATCCATCCTTGTTTACAGAGTCCATAAATGCATCTTCAGATGTATTGTGTTCCTCTTGCTAACACTTTTAAACAAAGAGATGCAGCAGATCCTCAGAAAATGTGGCCCTTTCACCCTGAATAATTACTCAAAGCTGCTATTGGATAGTCAAAGAGGTTGCACTTTCTGTCAATCAAGTCAATGATTTAACATATTACTATAGCACACTTTCATAAACCATAGCTTCTTTAACATTGCTCTATTGTGCAGAGACTTTGGCCTACAGTGTGAAATAAAAGTCCCAGTAAACTTTTGATAGATGTCCCACTGTAACACTCCCAATGTTTTCATGCAGCAACATACCATCAAAGAAAAAAAAAACACTGCTGTGAATCCATATGAATCTATTTTCACTTGGACACTATTCGCAAATATCTGGGTCTCATCCAGTCAATATTCTGACATGTGCTGCTTTTACAGCCCACGATACACCAACAGTACTACTGGCCAGCTCTCTCCCACATACCTCTGCCTCTGTGATACCGACAGTCACATTACAGAGCTGCCGGTGGCCAGCTAGTCTTGACCACTAGACCCACTCCCACACAGCACACAGAGCCTGTGGTTAGATAACAGAGGGAGACTGGCATGCTGCACTGAAGGGGGTGTAAGACAGGAGGAGCAGTAGGCAGATATGGCAACTGAGTAATGTTTTTTCAATTGTTATGATATTGAAATGTACTCATTTTTCAGGAAAATCCCTCCTAACATGATTATGGTGAATAAAACTAGATTAGAGTATTGGATTGTTATGTTTGTCCTGTATATAATCAACATATATATTGCCGGCACTCTTTGTTCACATCATGAGTTCGCTGCAGAAAAGATAACGTCCCTCCTAGTCTTTGTTAGATCTGCAGAAGTTGGGAAGAACAAAGTGTTGGCCAATGCAGCAGCAGGAAGCAGTGAAACGCTGCCTGCTTGATTTGAACCGACACCTACTCATGGCCAGGTTCATATTCCAATGAGCACTAAGGCAAGCAAGAGATGTGCCTACATGCCACCCCCACAGTGAGCAGAGCCGCTTCTAATGATCACCACATGCTAACTTTGTGTTTGCTGCCAGCACATGGAGCCCACAGATGACTCTAATCAGGGCAGGTTACAGTTAGCAGAGTTATGAGAAGGTTAGGTGCAGCTGTAGGAATTTAAGAGCTTCGTTTTCAATATGACTCAACACACAGTTAGTGTGAATGGAGTTTGTTCTGCAGTCAAACACTAGACATAAATGATGCCAGACACCTCCCTTTAAAATCTTGCAAAACACACCGACCCCATTGAGACTGAAGTTTACAGACAGCACTTTAAAATGCACTTTTCAGTCATTCAGGGGTGGATGGGAATTGTATTCTTATGCTGCAGCTGTTCTCGTGCTGCTTATCGCTCTCCATGGTGCTGAACTTACATCGACCTACCATGCATTTTCTGTCAAGCAAACAGCAGAAAACCACTTTAAACTTAACTCTCGTGTTGCGTATGGAAGGATATGGCCACTCAATGATTCTCCGTGCGTATTTCCTAATGATGTTGTCCTCTGCGAATATGAACAGCGACCTGTTGATGGTGAGGCAGTTCTGCCGGTGGGGGACGGGGTTGTACAGAGCCATGGTCCGGGCCCGCTGCGCCTTCGCTTGTTTCATAGAGGCAGTCAGTCCCGCCGCAACCGCGTCCTGCGAGTCCCCGCCGTGCTCCACATCCCCATCCCCGGAGTCCACCGTGGTGGGAGCGGACTCGTCTCCAAACCGAGCCATTCTACAAAAAAAGATAAGGAGACCCAGGCTTAGACTTTTCAATACAGAACGAATTCTACTAAAGAAAAATGTGAAACGGAGCTGTAAGTAAAAGAGAAGACACCTTCAATCCTATGACAGCTTTTTGAGCGCCAAAAATCTCCTCGAAGGCTGCAGATTATTTCACTTCATATCCGAAAGAAAACTGGATTTTATCATTCGAATGGCTCTTATGTTAGGGCAAAAACATCCATTAACTTAACGACGACTGCAAAACCACAACATCTCCGTTATCCCATCTGTTTTACAGTGCGTTGCAAACAGCTCTAAACAACTTTTAATGTGCCCGCGTCTCTAAAGTCAAGCAGAAGAGGGGAGGAAAGGATCCACCAAGTTTAAATCTTGCAGTTTTCAATCAACATCCAAGCACGATTTGATCTGAAAAGTCGAAGATCACTCTGCGAAAACCAGCTGGAGACATCCGAGATAAGTCTTGGCAAACTTTACGCATCTTCTTCGAGCCGAAAAAAACTTGACAAAAAAAAAAGGGAAAATCTCGTGCGAAAAAGAAGCCCATGTAACGCGTTTAAACCAGATTTTAAAAATCTACTCTCGGGGTTATTGTCTAAATCCGTCTTAAACGTTGCTATAGATCATCTCGAATCGCTAGATCAGAGGGATCTCTCCATCCTTTCACCTGCTGGGAAACTATCACGCTGCCAGGAGCGCATGAGTCCCCTCCTCCTACAGTTACATTTCATGATGGCGATCTCCAAATCCATCTGAATGAAAGCCGGCGGAGAGGAGGTACATGTATTTTGTTACCATAGCAATTAGAGTTTGCGAACAAAAAAATATTTGCCTAACAAAAACGGGAGCCTATATACAGCAGGATGTGTGGGTATGTGGCTCCAAAACAATTATGTAAAGATGTTAGTGGGTGCAGCAGCAAGAGGAATAGGTGTGAAAACACATTTAACACCAATACTAGGAGGACAATGCACAGAAAAAAAGGCAACAAGTGGGCAGATAAGGATAATTGAACATTAAAGTTGATTTATAGAACAGGAGTTTGACTCATTTCCCCCCCTCATTGAAATGCTTCCAATACCAGACAATCAGACAGCATTGTCATATTTTCATTAATGGAGACAGACTATTAAAACATTTAAAAGTAGGCCACTGTGCTAATATTGGAGTAAAAATAGAGCATGAAATAGATCTTAGGGCTGCTCCCTTTTTGAGGGAGAGGAGAAGAGAAGCAGGGTCTTTTTCGCACTCAGTGCCATAAGTGAGACCTCATTAGGCAACTGGGCTCTCTCGCTCCATCTGCTGCTCTACTCCCTTCCCCATGGTTTCTTCAAGATACCACTTCAGCTCCCACACACATCAGATTATTCAATCGGGGGGCTTATTTGATGCTGCCTCAATTATGGCAATTAAAACCAAAAGCAGACTCTTTCCACTTGAAATCCTGACATGAAATATAACAATGCCGGTATCAAAGTGTGCAGACAGGAGGTCGGGTGGTAGGGGGGTGAAGAGCAAGCCAAGAGAGACTGACAAATGTATGCTTGGCAAACAAGGCAAGATCTAGGGGGGAGAGAGGGGACAGAACATTGATTTAACAGGATCTATGAATAAGTCCCTAATTGAGCTCCAAAAACTCAGACGTGTCTCTGTTCCCTCCTCTCCCTCATCTGCATGAAGCAGGCGGGCGTCATGCAAAGCAGGTGAGCAACAAAAAGGTGACACTGAACTATCGAGTGCAGAGCATAAAAAAGGCAGAATGAGCGCCAGCACATACAGTTTGATGACTGTAAATGCACATAAAGTATCTGCTAAAATATCTTTAAGTATGTAAGTTGATTAGAAAATAATAAAACTTTGTATACTGTATGTCAACCAACTACAATATTTGTCTATCTCTGCAAACAGCGAATATCTCCCTCTTTCTATCTCTGTCTGCAGTGCTCTCTTTGCTGTTGTTTCCATAGCGACATAGCTCTCTTGAATTCCTGCTCCGTTCTTTTCATTTCTGCCAACAAAAGCCATGTTGCACAATACAGCAACCTCTTCCTACAGAAACCTGGTTCTCCCAGCACACAGCAACACAAGCACAAATAGAGACGCACGCTTTCGATCAAGGTCATTGGACGTCTTCCGGAGGCTGACACACTACAGCACAGCCCCGTCTCTACACCTGATGATCAACTACACTGTATAGATTGACCACATGGAGTCTGCTTTTTGTTCGGCTCTTGAGCACAGCCTACTCAAAGGCTCCTAAAAATAGCCGTCTAAACTGCAGAAAAGCTTGTATCTATTTGCTCGGGCCTAACAAAACAAACAAAACAAAAAAATCATGGAAAAGAAGAAATGATTAGACTTTGCAGATTGAAGGGTAGTCTACTTTAACGTCTTCCCACAAGAGAAGAACATTTACAGTTTTATGTCCATAGTCTTGAGAAATATGGGCGAAGACAGCTGAAGCGATACTGCAGGTGACAAGCACTGAGCGTTTCAACGCTAATGGACTTACTTTGTGGCAGAACTCTGAAGAGCATTTATATAATTGCAGACAGGTTTTCATCCAACACTGACAAGAGCTAGCATTTTATTTTTCACTCTGTTTCCTAGCAACAGACACTTCTAGTACTGAATTATGTCAGTTTGATTCAGCCAATCAGCCAATAAATGCTGCTTAGTGTATATCACAACAGATTGGTGTGAGTCTACCTTAAATCATATTTACAGTGTGGTGGTTGTTTTAGAGCAGTTTAACATGAATTCAGATTGAGAAATTATAATGTAAACATGATGCAAATTTATCAGTGGAGCCCCAAAAGTTCTGAGAATTAAGTGTCTATCTCTAAAAAGTCATATTACTCTTAATTTTGATATCACTCATAGTTTGGAAGTGGTCTTAAATGTAATACTATGATTTTAGAAAGTATCATTAGTGTCTTTGTTATGTATCTGGGCTGGAAAAGCCAACAATGTCGGTAAAGCTGTACAATTTAGCTCCTATTAGATCCTGCACTGCCTCCCTGCTGCTCTTCTACTTTGATTCCCTAGCATCCCCTAATGGACAAATAACCACAATGCATTTAGAGAAGGGCTGTATCAGCTTTTGTTTTACATTTCCTCATTTAACATTTTATATGTTTATGTTAGAGGTACCAATGCAGTCAACACTCTAAATATGAAATATGAAGAAAAACAGACGCACTTCCTGTGTTCTTATTGTACCAATAAATGTTAGAAAAGCTGTAATCAATGATGGAGCAGGAAAGAGAAAGACAGTACAAAGTGGATGTGGAGTGGGTGGTGGAGGTAAGTAACGAGAAATCAGAGGATGAAGAAGGAGGAGGGATGGAGTTTGTTAGTGGGTTGGGGTTAGGCTGATCGAGTACCACTCCATGCTTGAGTGGTGGGAGGCTGATAATCAGAGCAATGTGGCTCCATGAGTTTAAAAGTTCACCAGCAAGCACCCTCAGCTACACCGTTAATAACGCTATGTAGGATCTGATTACATTATACTGCGGACGATACTGTTACACAGACCTTAAAAGACCAAAAAAACATCACGTCAGCTGATGAAAGCAGATGGGAACCAATTTTTTTATTCATTGGTGGAACAATAATAATGCTGAAAACAAAGAATTCAGCATATGTGTTGCCACTATGGGGCACCTTTTGTAATAAGAGCTTTGCAGCTAAGCAACAACACAACAATGACAAGTGTTGTACTTTTTACAACAATGGTTAATGATTTTAAACTCTTCCATGTTTTCAGTATTGTAGAGTCCTTTGACCATGAGCAGAACAATGTTTTTAAGAGGGGTTTGGAGTGGGTCCCATGAACAAGGATGCACATGCACACTGTTCCTCCAATAGTTACACATTATTCTGTTAATGACAATAGATGCCAGTGGAAAAGTGTGAAGTATGAGAGCTTGAAAAGTAGAAATGTGAAATGTAGCAGTCTGAAACATGGATGTAAACAGGGCGTGTTTCACATTCACTTTTGACATTTGTCACTGCAGATGCTTTGTGAGGAAGGGAAATACATTGAACAATTTTAGCAACCCCAAGGACACAAAAAATGTTTTGGGTTAGAAGTGAAAGAAACTTAACTACCTCTATTTTTTTCATCAAACTCCTTAGGTTACCTTGCATTTCCCCTTGAAGATGCTTTACATGGTTTGACCAATAGGGGGCTCAAAGACTTCAAGCCTGACATTCTTTAACTTTAATTTTAACACCTTTTGAGAATGGAAGGCTATTTACACTTTCAGCAGAAGCCGAACAACTTAAGCAATCATTTTGAAGTCATTTTCTGGCCACATAAAGAATGCAAATCTAATATTCACTCTCCCTTGGGCTCTGCGTTTTTCTCCACTAGCTTCTGAGGAAAGTATTTGAACTGAATCTTTTCTCTACTTCATGTAAGTACAATTTATTTAACCCTTTTTGCTTTAATTAAAAAAATCACGGCGTTCTGTGGCTTAAACAAGGTGGATACGAATCGAAAGATGGAATAAAACAGTGAAGTTATGGGCCATATCCCCATCACTACCTCAAATAAATAAATATCTCCACATCCTTTTCTCAGATTTCACTGAAGTCAGCCAAAAATCATTTAGATCACTCTAAAGCCGTGCGACTTGATTAACTTTAAAAATAAAACACGAATGGATGTTCACTGTTTCTTTGCATTGACATCCCACCAAAGAGGATCAACAGGTTATAGTGGTTAGAAGTTATAGTGCATAAAAACGATGTGTGCCCATATCAGTGACACTTTATCCTCCTCCATGGAGATTTATCATCTTTACACCTATATTTAAAGAGGGCTTAGACTTTCTTTCATACTTACTCCCACTCCTTCCTGCGGGCTTGCGGTGTGCTCTGGATTTTGTGAGCCTGGTGAGCCATGATGATGTCCTTCTGCTCCACCAATCCCCCTCTCCGCCGCAGCCCACCATGCGGGCTCAGAGACTCTGAACCCTGTTCTGACGAGACCTCATCCTGACAACAAGGCACGTCAAAGCTGGCTGCTCGAGGGGGCAGCCCCAGGTACTCCGAGGTGGCGTTAGGGACCTGCAGTGAGCAGGAGCGGGCTCCTTGTGCCAGGCCATGACGGGCAGCGGGGCTGGGCTTCCTCCAGGCCTCAGGCTCGGGGAGGGACAGGGAGGACTGGACATGCGCCTGTCCACTTGGACCACAGCTGGATGGAAAGTGGAGGTTTGGTGTGAGGGAGCGGGTTAGGGACTGGTTTGAACTGGTGTGCATCTTTACAGAGGGGTGGAGTTGGAGGTTTCACCATAATGCTGTGAAAAAACAGAAGAGACTCAGAAAAATTAGGAAAGACGGTACGTGTAACATGCATTCATGAAACACTGCTTGGAGAAATTGTACATCTTTCACATCTTGCCTGTCGATCTGTTTGTCTATTTTTAGCAACAAAGGCATCATGGCTCGAGGGAGCACAATGGAGGTAGTTTACCACTTTGAACCACAATGAAATGTCTCAACAAATAGTTCATATATTTTCAAGAACATGGTAAGTGTATTCATGGTCCCTATAGGGATGAATCCTCAGTTAAAAATATATCACATCTATGAAATATCTTAACATCTTCTGGACTGATAAGAATAACGTTTAGTTCAGTCTTTCATGGCATCCAAGATAGTATATTCCTACAACTTTGGTGATCCATT